ATTGCACAGAAGTGAACATGTGTCGCACAAAACACTGATTTCTTTTCACTGCTATTGTAACTTGTGAGAGGAGAGATTGTGACTTGAATTTCATTGAATGTTCCTCTCTGCTCACACCTGCCTAGCACAAAGAGCTATGCAATAAATGGATGGGTTGATCATATCGGAGTCCTTTTCTCTGAGAGCCAGAGTTCCTGCCTGCTTATCCAAGTGACACGCCAGGCTCCAGTTGCAGCCTGACCCTTTCTATAAAAACTTCTATCTATATTAGTCTCTGGTCAGTCCTGTCAGAACTGGGATGAGTTAATTCTCTCTAAGGTGTTAGCAGCTGACAGTGGCTTGTAGTGTTCTTCTCTACTGTGAATCTTTTTAATAAAGGACTTTTGGAGAAAGTATTGTTGAAGTCAAAGGAATGACTTTCTCATGGTAAAACTTCAAGTACACTATGAGATTCTTAAAGATAAACCAGCTGGTGGTGATAGTGAGTGTGATTGTTATCGTAGGAGGAGTGATGTGGAGGAAACAGTCATTTCAATATGAAAGCATTTCCTTCACTTTGAGACACATGAGGTTTTTTTCATTGATTCTTCACAGAAGAGTATCCGGAATTACCACCTTGTCTCTGTCTTTTGGTAAGCCTTACAAACTTGAAAAGGCCACCACATCCTCCCCATAACCTGTCTAGTAGTGGACGTCGAGGTTTTCATAAATATTTTAAGTTTCCATATTTTCATCTAAATTAATATTCATTAAACAACTGTAAGCAAAAATTAAATACATAATTCTGTGCAGTAGCAATGCACGCATGCTAAGTTGCTTCACTTGTGTCCGATTTTTTGCAACTCTAGGGACTGCCCCTGCCAAGCTCCTCTGTCCATGGGATACTCCAGGTAAGAATACTGGAGTGCGTTGCTATTTCCTTCTCCAGGGGATCTTCCCGGCCCAGGGAGTGAACCCGCAGCTTTTATGTCTCCTGCATTGGCAGGCAGGTTCTTTACCACAAGCACCACCTGGGAGGCAGTAGCAATGGTGAACAGTAAAATATTTGTCCACGCCAGATACTCTGTTGAGTTAGAGAGGACTGAACTTTAAGTTTTCTATAGAAATAAAGTAGGACATGGTTTCTCAAACTTGTCTGATCATAAGAATTTTGGTGATGCTCATTAAAATATAGATTCCACTCCAGACCTTCAGGTCCAAGGAGAGACTTATGAGAAAGAGTGGGAAAACTGAGGTAGGGTAAGGTTTTTCACTGTCCTTTAATAAGGGTTTGCCACTTGGACTCTGGGGTAACTCGTATCTTGAGATCATGCTGAAAACATTTTTATTCTCTTTCCCTCCCTGCTATTCTTCCAAGAAATATTATGCCAGGCACTGTTACGCTGAGAAAATACAGATAAGCAACAATTCTTGCTGAAGTGTCAGACAAAGACAACGAACAATTAAACAGTGTATTAAATGCTAAAATAGAGGCGGTACAGGACACTATGCATTTAAAAGAGGAGGAAACGCCTGGTCTGAGTATTTAAGGTAAATTTGACATCCATAAAGAAGAGGTCATTCCACATAGAAGATGTATGAACAAAGACCTAGAGGTTTAAGGAAACCTGGTGTTTTCTGAGCACTGTTAAATGTCTGGCATGGCTGAAGCTCAAGTTCTGGTTGGGGGAATGGGGGTAGAACAGGAAGAGTCAGATTGTGAACAGCCTCACGTGCCACCTTGATGATGTTGGACTTAGCGCTGTCGGTAATGTGGAACTGTTTGGGAAGAAACCTACATGTTCCTTGCACTTAATGTAAACTGATTTCAGAATATAACTTGATAAGAACCTCTTAAAACTGGAGTTTAAGTCAACTTTGCTTTGTGCTAACCTTATATAATAGTCTTTGAGCTTTCTAATCTAGTGGAGGCTCTTCTCAGCGGACATCTTATATAGAACACAAGGTACAAAACAGATTAACAGGCTGTTTTGGCTGATGCAGAAAGCTCAGCCCCATGACATTTCTGTAAACATGAGGTTTTAAGGAACAGTCTGCAAATCAACGTTCTGTGCTCCCCAGAGACTGGTTAATTAGATGGAATTGGACTCTTCCTGTTGGAAGGTAGCTTCAATTTATCTCTGAAGAGAGTGCCTTCTACTGTATCTAGCATGGCTCTCTCCATGAAGCATTGTTCAGAAGATGCTTGTGGCACTGAATTGAGTCTGCCTAGGTTTTAATCCTTCCAGCGAAGGGGAGGCCTCCACTTTCTTCTAAAGTTTACTCTCTAGTTAAGCTGCCTCATTCACTAGCAACATCTATGGTCAGTAGGCATCATTCTGATTTAAGTAAGGTTTTTTGGAATAATCAACTCAATGTTAAGGCTATTATGTCTCTTTCCCTTACCTTTTAAGTTTTTTTAATTGTTCCTTAAAATAGCCCCTCTTTCTTGCTGGGTCCCCATTTTCCCACATGATTCCAATTTGCCAGTATTGCCTCTTAAAAATGCCATCACCAGGAATATGACCATTTCTTTGGCCACTTTTTGTCTCCCATTGTAGAAGGAAATGGCAACCCACTCCAGTATTCTAGACTGGAGAAATCCATGGATAGAGGCGCCTGCCTAGCTACAGTTCATAGCGTCGAAAGAGTTGGACATGATTGAGTGACTTTCACTTTTCACTTTTGCCTCCCATTACTAGGTATGCATTTATAAAAAAATAAAGTTATCATGAAAGGACCTCACCAGGGGCTTCTGTGGTTGGCATTACCTCAAAATTTATACAAAAGGAATAAAGATGAAACAGCAAGTAAAAATGGCATTACAAAGCAGCTCAGCCTTAAGCCAGACACTGTCTTACTGTCTTAGTAAGACAGAATACTAACATTTAACATTGTAATGAAAACTGATAGATTTCGTTCAAGATTGTCAGGCTTCCCTGGTGGTTCAGTGCTACAGAATCCACCTGCCAATGCAGGAGATGTGGGTTCAATCCCTGGGTTGGGAAGATGCTCTGGAAAAGGGAATGGCAACCCACTTCAGTGTTTTTGCTTGGGAAAACAGTCCATGGGGCTGCAAAAGTTTGGACATGACTTAGCGACTAAATAACAAGACTGCCAGGCATTAGTGTGTGTGTGTCTGTATGTGGAAAAAATATGAGCCTAGAACAATCCGAGGAACACAGCAGAGGCTATTTTCTGTGGCATGAATAAAGTTGAAGGCTACCTACAATAGGAAAAGGACATACGCTAGTCTGGGTATTGCAGATTGGCCTGGCTCACGGGGCTTCCAGTCTTGAAACAAATGTAGGCAGGCAGGACAGGCTTCAAGGTCCCTGCTTCTCAGCAGTGTGACAAGAGGGATCCAGTACATGGGAACATTGAACTAGTCAAGGACAAGTGTGAGACATTTAAATTATCCCCATGGCACGGTCCCCCCTGTGGTGCTGGCTTCAAGTTCGGGCCCTAGTTTCTAGGCAGAAAGAGGGATGTGTCCACAGGTTTATAATTTCACATAAATGTGGTGGGGGAGAGAAGGGAAGAAATGTATCAGGACAAGATCCTCCTGGGGGATTCAGCATCAGCACGATACTCTCTAGGCTGTTAGCACAAGATGCGTCCCCTCTGACATGCTGTTCTTGGGAACCCACAGTCGACGTCCGGAGAGGTTCCTCCCTTCGTCACTTTTCTCCTCATATGAGTTTAGTGTCTGAAGATTTTTCTTTCTTTTCTTCAAAAAATATTTTAAAAGACTATGAAAGTGAAGTGAAAGAAGAAGTGAAAGTTGCTCAGTCCGACTCTTGCGACCCTGTGGACTATACAGTCCATGGAATTCTCCAGGCCAGAATACTGGCATGGTTAGCCTTTCCCTTCTCCAGGGGATCTCCCCAAGCCAGTGATCAAACCCAGGTCTCCTGCATTGCAGGCGGATTCTTTACCAGCTGAACCACCAGGGAAGCCCTAGAAAACTGGGGTGGGTAGCCTACTCTTCTCCAGCAGATCTTCCTGACCCAGGAATCAAACCGGGGTCTCCTGCATTGCAGGCGGATTCTTTACCAACTGAGCAATCAGGGAATCCTTTTAAAAGACTGTAAGTAGAGGATATTTTAGGTAAGAAAACTTGCTGACCCAGGGTCAGTCAAATCTAGCTCTTAATCCTTGAAAAGCTAGATAAAAATTCTGCACTGGGTTTGAACCCCATGAACTGTAAGTCCCCTTGGGGGAAGGTGAAGAAGGGCAGAAGACAGGGGGCTGTGTGTGTGTGTTGAGCCAAAGCGTCACTGGAATAAGCAACTTAAGAAACCAACAGTTTCCCCAAAAGCGAAGGAGATAGAGCTAACAACTGATGATCAGGCATGTTAGCTCTTTTAGAGAAATAACTTCAGCTCTATATTGATTTCTCTGATAGACTGAATTATTATGCAAAAATATATGCTATTACTTTCTTAACTACTGAGCAGAAAGACCAGGCAATACTCACATCAACTGCTTATTTTAATGTCAAATGTTTATTTCTATGCCATAGTTGCCTCAGCACAATTTGTAAAAGAAAGGAATCCAAAGAAAAGATTTTTTTTTGGTTGGGATATTTTCTCTGCAGTTATAAGAAAGAAAATAAACACGTTGGTATCAGAATTACCATTTCTTTCATATCATTCTAATAAATATCGCATCTAAATATTTTCCTTGGGTGTCATTTTTTTTTAAAGGATGGAAAAATACCTACAGGGGGAAAAAGGCTTGAATTCATCAAAATAAATTTGGGATAGTCTTTGTCAAAGAATACATCTAGAACATCTTTGTTTTGGTACACTATATCACTAATTGCCATATTCTTATTATTTAATATAACAGGCATACTTTATTACATAAAACAAAGTGCACTGAAAATGAACAATGTTAGAAACAAACTAATATTTGGTGTATCTTAAATCTTCAGGTGATTAGATATTAGCTGAAGCGCCGGGATACAAATTTCACTATTGATACAAATGCAATTCTCTTCTGCGGGGAAAATGTACTTAGTAGCTGAGTTCTTTTTGATTTAGCAGACAGGGCATCCAATACAACTGAAACAACCTGATAACAATTTTTTTTTTTCCAATAAAAAGGAATGCTCTGGTTCTTAACTGGCTCCCATCTTCAAGGGAGCCAGAAGACAGCATTTGCTCTTTCAATATTTTTCTCTTGTCTGATTTGACACACAGAGCCACCAAGATTCTTACAGGGGAAGTAGGCACCACGCCTGGGAGCATGAGGCTCTCAGACGAGCCAGTTAGAGTCAATCTATGATGCATGGGGCGCGCCCCGCACCTAGAGACAGCGTGGTGGCTGTGCATGTAAATCCTTCCAGCAGACTCAGGGAAAGGAGGAGAGTTCTTTAAGTTCATGCACATTTTATTGAGTAGTAATATAAAATGCTTTTTTCTTTTTCATTGTTACAAGTGCATGCTTTGATTGCCAACATCTCAGAAGTCAAATTACAAAGGCAAGGCTTTAGGCTGTAGTGAATTACTTGGGCACTTATACAACTTTTAAAAAATATGAATGGACTTTTGTGGTGGTTGTTGTTTTCAGAATGAACCAGTTGTAACCCGTAACTGATATACAAAGGGAAAAAAGTGAAAAAAGTACATATTTTGTGGCACATGACAGAACAGAACAAAATAACTAAACCGTTATGACATTAACAGTTACCATGCATTTAGAGTTCCACATGTAACTACAAACTTATTTAAATTTCACAAGGTTTGCTAAACATGCTAACCATCTATATGTGCACTGACAAGCTTATGTTAAAAACTTTTAAGAATACTCTCCCCTTTAGATTTTTTCAAAGCTTTTTTTTGATTACAAAATTTCAAAGGCATGAAGCATTTTAGAGAATATAAAGTACGCCAGTATACATACATTTCCAGTATATGTCAGACCACTAAGCGCATTACAGTCTCATACAGGCCGGTACAGCCATTTTGTTTCTTAAAAAACATGCATAGGCAGATTTTTTTTTTTTTACAGAATATAGATGCTTTATCACTGTACTTAATATGGTGTCTTGTTTACTATACTTAAAAATGCACCACTCATAAATATTTAATTCAGCAAGCCACAACCAAGACTTGATTTATCAACAAAAACCCCTAAATATAAACAGCAAAAAAAAAAAAAAAAGATAGAAGTAATTATTCCAGTTTTTTTAAAACTTAAAGAAAAGAAAAGGAAAGGTATTCATTGCTAAAGTAATACATGTTATATGGAAAGAAAGGCATTCAAAGCACACTAAAGAAACCTGAGGTAAGCATAATCTGTACAAAATTAAACTGTCCTTTTTGGCATTTTAACAAATTTGCAACATTCTTTTTTTTTTCTTTTTCTGTTTTTTTTTTTTTTTTTAAGACTGCCTAATTCATTTTATAGCCATTGTCTGACAAGAGTAGCAAAACATTATCAATAAATAGTCCTTATTTAGTTTGTACATCATTTTGTTAAAAATGGTTGATGTCATCCATTTTTAGTGCTGCGACTGTAAACGTACAATAGAGTAAGAAATTAGACAAAGTTTTCGTGTCCAGTAACATAATAAAAGACCTCTCGTTAACCTATCTAGAAGTCCCCCAATGCAGTAGGAAAACATGTACATTCCCCTAACATTGCAGTATATACTAGCATTAGCTTTCTTTTAAAATTTTTTTTCCCTATAAGCATTTTTTTAAAAGGCATACCCAAAAGAGGTGTTTAATCACCACCCCCACCAAAATATAGTTTATAATTCTCTCTCCCTCTTTTTTAATGATAGTGTAAACTGAATCCAACTCCTGGCCCCAGAGCAAATAAGCTACCATCAGAGGCAAGAACATCCAACTGCTGATACGCAGCCATCCCCATCATGCCCTGCAGCTCAAAAAAAAAAAAAAAAAAAGAAAGGTGAACAGGAAGTGGTCACTGGATATTGCTGCTATTACTGCCATTGCTGTCCGTGCCGTTAGTCTCTGAGGCGAGAGCCTTGTTGATGGAGTTAAGGTTGGCGTCGGAGGGCATGGCATCTCTGCGAGGTGGCATCCTCTCGTTAATTCGGTCTAAGCCCTTGGCCTCCTCGAAGCTAGTGATCTTATGTTGTGGTGAAAATCCTTTGATAGCTAAACAGAAAATCATTAAGAAAAGAAAAATCGGGGTTAGCTAGAGGAACACAAAGGGCACAGCTGTTGCATCAGGTGATGTTAGAAATTTCGCAGTGAGAGAGGGAATCCTTTAGTAGAGAACAAAGTGACGGGACCTGAACACAACACAGCAGACTCCTTACCATACCCGAAGATAACCGAGAGGTTTGGTAACAGCCAATGTCTCTTGCCAACCAAAATGTCCTCTTCAAGTTAGTAAGATGTAAAGGTTTTTCTTGTCTTCATGAATGGTTAGATCCATGGAGTGGTATATAAATAGGAAGGTTGCTACCAGTAATAGATTTCTAGGCCCAGCATCCACTGGCCACATCCTTGGCACAATTACTGTATTAAATGCCTTAACCTAGAGAGGCAGGACATGGCCCTACTTTTACTATTCCATTATGCTAGTAATGGCAAATTCAGTAGACTCACTGAAGCAGCTAGACCTAAAAATTTAGTAAAGAGCTTAGAGCAGAAGCTAAAAGGAGCTACAAGAGGAATGAAACTTGGGGCATTTCCAGGACATCTCAGCATCCCAGTGAGATTTTCTTGGCAAACAATTTAACGGTGGCATGAAAAAAAAAATGAAATTATAAACACCTGCTTCTCCACTCAACTTTGGAAATATGTGGAGTGGATGACAAGGTAAAAGAAATTGAGAAAAATCAAGATCAAATCACTAAGCAGAAAAATTTGGTCTTTCCTTCAGCAGCAAACAGGCCAAACTGATGTTCATCTGGTCTACTGCATAAATTAAAGAAAAACTCTTTCTTAGTAGATCAATGTAGATGTTAAGTGATGGTTCACAAATAACAAAGGGAAAACACTTTATGCAACTTTAAGCAAAAATGAATGGGAATGGTTTGGGCATTATCCAATGAAAACATGGAATTTTCAAAAGGGGAGCACTGATATTTGATGTTTTTTTCCAGTTATCCCACTATGCTCCATAGATAGATAAAGCATTTGCACAAGAGACTTAAGGTTTTCTTCAATAGGTGCACCAACCAGTGAGCTGAAAACAAAGTACATAAATGGGGAACCATACATAAATGGGGAACACCAGATTGCTTTACTCCCTGTGAAAACGCAAGCCAGACACTGAAGGGCCAATCACCAGTGTTGAATTGGGCTGCATCTCCATGGCTGATGAAGGACAATTTCACTGTACCTTTATCCTTCCTACCCTATTTGAGAAAAAAAGGAAAGCAGTTTCAAGCCGAAACTTTGCTAGCCACTCCCACACAAATGTACAGTGCTTTTCATTAGTATGGATGAGAGTCTTAAAAGATAGACACAGTTGCTTCCAAACTTGTTACATGATAAGAAACAGTTCTTTCCCCCTCTGCATTTTAAAGGTTAGCATCATGGTGATTAGTCAACTATGAGAGGAAGGAGATGGGGAAATGGGGAAAGACCAAGGCCCAAAGCAAAGCTTTTTAATTCTTCTCTAATTCAGTCGGAAATCACAAAAATAACAGACCTGTCTAATGAGCACCCACCCTGAAAATGAAGTCAGTGATTTTCAGGGACAAAAGCAGTATATCTACTGTTTTGCTAAACTACTGTGAATATCATTTCATCATAATGAATAAATACAAGAAGTCAGTCATCATAATTGATGACACAACTTTATGAATTGAAATGGTAAAAGTGGAATCTCTTTTTTTAGGTTGTGTACGGTTTGAAAAGCCAATAGAGTGGGAGCATAGAATTTCAAAGTCTAGTGAAAACAAGGGCTGTGTCTAGAATAGGGCTCCATTTCTAGTCATCTGGTCTACCCTGGGCTGGAAGAATGCGCTCTGCTGTAGCTGCTGGTCAGACAATGGGTATTAGCAATTTACATTGGTAGTATACTGAACACAACACAGTCACAGAAACCACAGAAAACAGCCAAACTATCAACGAGAATGCACACGGCAGATTAGAATTTGCCAAGAGGAATAGAGAATTCCCACATAAATAGCAGTTTATTCACTGCTATTTAGGAAACAGTTGTATTTTCTCTTACAGTGCTATCATTTCCCCTCCTGTATCCAAATCACATACAAATGAGAGTCTAAAGTGGCACATTTCACATCGTATCAAAGGAACGTATCACACAATTTTGGGAACAGTAAAACATCATCTTGCAAGAACAAAATACAACTGAATAATTTTGTTTTAAAGGGGAACTTCAAATTATTCTTTTTAAAATTTTCAGGGGATATGGTATGTATCGTATCAAAAACTATTTGGGTAAGCAGTTCTCTCATAACTCGACATTTAAAGAGCACAAAAGAAATCACGAGAGGTCCGCTGTGTTGTCATTGAGCAGGGCTGTGATAGTCAGGGATGTGTGTATCTCGATTTTCCTGAGGCTCGCAGCACAGTGTATGGTGCAGAGGAGACACTCAGTGGGCCTTAACCAGCTGAGTGATGACAATATTCACTATGCTTGTTACCGGCCACTTCCACAGCCACTAGGTATTTTTGAACTCTTTAGACTATCTTGGTGGTGCTAGCTGTCCTGCAAATACCAGTAGGTTAAAATTTCATAAGACTAGCAGAACTGTTTATCTTGAATACAGCTGTCTCTTGTTGGGATATTTTTTAGAGACAAAAATTAACGTTGAACTACAACAAAGCACTATTCAAGTGAACTTTTGTTTTTTGCTAGAAATTTCTGAAAACTAGATTTCATAAAGCTATTTTTATCCTCTCCTTTTCAGTGCTGACTGAAAGTGATTTGAGGGAGGGACATGGTTCAGCTCAAAGAATATTGTTTTATCCATTGTCTGTCAAAACGGCTGCCATAACCCCCACCCCACATGTTCAAGATCTGTTATCCTTTTGTTTTCTGTGATTATACTAGGATCATTATATACAAAGTCAAACATAGCTTTAAGGGAAAAAAACAAACAAACAAACCAGAAAAGGACATTTTCCCCTTTAAAGCAAGAACATTTTGGTTAATACTGAGCCACAACTGTTAGCCCAACACCCACACACTCTTTACAAGCTACAGCAAAAAAAAAAAAAAAAAAAAAAGGAAAAAAGAAAAAAAAAAGAAAGAAAGAAATGAATACACCCAGCAGAGCCCTTATCTGTTGCAGGTACAACAGAAAGGGGACTGGCCAATTTACCTTCATCAGCCTCAATAGCCTCAACAGTAGCTGAAGAGAAGAAAGGGGGTGCAAAATGAATGAGAAAAATGAGCAGAGGATTTTTAATTCTAAGAACAAATCAGTGACGATCAAGGGAGCTAAGATGATTAGTGTTCCTGTAAGTGCTGGATTCTGGCACAGACAACAAAACAGAAATGCTAAAAAGAAAGAAAAAAAAAAACAAACACGAAAATGATAAGGTTTTTTTTTTTTTTTTTTTATGAGCTGGATACACATATCTGAGCAAACCGCTCTGGATTTTGCTAACTAAATAAAGGACCACATGATTAACCCTTTAGGAAAACACTCAGGAAAGGTTTCTTTGACTTAGATTGAATCTACAAGGGACGAGCTCAATTGAAAATGTGCATCTGACTCACGTGAAGTATGACAAAATTCACTGATATGACTGGTGATTTACAGTTTTAAAATGTCCCCCCAAATGGCAAAACTTGAAGCACTGCCATATTGTCAGTGGAATAATTCACAGTATTTAATATTAAAGAGCACAGTTTCCTAGTGGAATGGAAAAGCAGGGGGCATGCAAATTAAGAGCTGCCTCCGAGTTGATGACACGTGTGACTCTAAAGACAAACACTGAGCATGCTTCAAGTGTGAGGGAGAAAGGGAGAAGGAAGAGGAAGGGGGTGGGAGAGTCTGGATGTCTTCTGCCAGGTAACCCAGTTTGCAATCAGTTTTCCTCACTGGAATATCATTTTTAGAAACAAAACTCTTGAAATGTTACCATCAAGTGGTAACATGCCAGGAGTAGCAGCAATAATTCATTAGCATTTTAAAGAAAAGCCAGTCTAAATACTGAAACCTCAGCATATTTCAGAGGCAAAACTTTAAAAGCCCATTGCTTTATCAGCAATTTTTATAATAATTTAGGGTCTATCTCCTCGCTATACAGGTGCACGAGTTTTTCTGTGTTATCAAGGTTAGGGGATATTTCCCTAATTAAGTGCTAAAATGCAAAACTTCTCTGTAATTCCAAAATGTTTAATATTAAAATCCTACCCCTTGACTTTAATTTGCATGTTTCTTATAATTTAAGGTTTTAAGACTAGAGCAACTGCCAAATGTGCACTATAATTTACTTACAGTGCATTCTAAATTCCTTATAACAAAAATATATGATGGTTACCACCATGGAAAAAAACCAAACAGTAAAACTTTAAGTAGTTTCTCCTTTTTAGACAAATTTAAGTGAATCAGGCAATGAATTTTGAAATTGTATTAGTGTACATCGTTTAAAATATACACTGACTTTTCAAATTCTCAGGACTAACAAAGTTGTAAAACCTTAGGTCTACTGTAGGTATGTGCTGTGTGTGTAAGTTCAACACCAAATGGCAAACAAATGGATCTAAAATAAAACAACAGAACAACTAAAAATTCCAGGTTAAATCACAGGTGAAAATCTGAAAACAAAACAAAGAATTGTAAGAACTTAAGTCACTTAAATTTAAAAGTAAAGCAAAAAAATCTAGAGTTGCACCAGCACCAACACATATTAGACATGTGCCCTGTCCATTATTAAGTGTATTCTTCTAAAGCAACTGTGATCCATAGTTTCTGGTAATACATTTGCTGTACTGTAAAACTGTGCTTCTCAGAAACTATGCAGATTTTAGTTAATTAGGTAGTTGTGCATTTCATGCATATAAATGATTATGCATATGATAAATAAATATGCCAGTGTTCTTAGCATGTTTACTTTGGTCGGAAAATTTTTGTTTTTTTCCTTCAAAGTTATTAAAATAATTTTTCAGCTATAAATTAAATAGGGGATTTATTTATTTATTTACTGTGATATTTTCCTACTTTCATTTAGAATATTTTTTTTTCTTTTGGTGGAAACTCAAATACATTGATGTTGGAATAAAATCATATGAAAATAAAGAAAACGTTAGTGATGCTGCCAGGAGGTGACTGTTTAGCAGCACCGTATCCATGAAGCTGGGCATCACTCTCTGTGTAAAAGAGCTGTACCTAAATAACATAACCATAGGAATACCAGGATCCTCCAGACTGAGGGACAGGAATAGAAAAGAAAATAGACACACAAAAAAAAAGATTCAGGGAAAGATACAGGAAAATAAGCAAGAGGCTGAGACTGTTTTAAAACCTTAGAGCATATTTTTGTTCTCATTTTTTTCTGTTAGGGTCTAATCTAACAGCAAAATTTCCTTAAAGTATGCTGAAATGCTACTTTAATTAATGAGAATATTGGCAAAAATAGATAACAAAAGTAACAAAAGTAAAAGAGTATACTGACTGGGCTAATACAGTAGCCACTAACCACATATGGCTATTTAAATCAAAGTAACGACAGCTAGGTAAAATACAGTTCCCCAGCTGTTCAAGCTATATTTCAAACACTCAATAGCCATAAGTTCTTGGTGGCTCCTGTACAGATAGAGATATTTCCACCATCACAAAAAGTTCTATTGGATAGCACTTATCCAAAAAAAACTATAGATTTTAATACAAAAGCTATCTTCAAGGAAATGTTTTCATCCTTTTTAAAAAATGAAATATGATTCTAATCACTCTCAAGTTTTGATGAGTAAGTCAGAGGAAAGACACCTTTGACTTCAAGTTCTAGTCCAAAACAAAATCATCCTTCTCTACTCTTCTTCCATTCTCCACTAAATCCTACATTTACATATGTATTTTTATGTGTGCATGTGTTTATTTCATCACTCCAGTAGATAACCAGCACATTTAATAAACATGTAATTAACAAGTTGTTTTTAGCAACTGCTTGGTTCCAAGTGGTCAAACCTATAGGGCATGTAGGTGAGCTAAATGAGCTGTCTTACAGTGAGGCCTGAAATCGTGATTACTGTGCAAATGAGGACATGGGGGTGGGTGGGGTAAGGACCACACTCCAGCAAATGAAGGAGCTACCATTTGGGGCATGACTGGTCAAAGTGATGGGGGGCGGTTCCAGCCCTTCTTTCAGCTGAGAAGAACTGAAGACCAAGACTGAGCTTGAATGGATGAGTAAGTCAGGGCTCTAATGGCAGAGCAGATTGAGGTGCCAGCACAGGTTGCACCAATGGGCCTGCTTACCGCTTTGCAGGGTTTGTTTCCCTCCAGAAAGCACGCCGCTGGGGAGCATGCCTGTGGGCGTCAGGCCTTTCAGCGTCAGCACACTCTCACTCTCCTCTCTGCAAAGGCACAACGGGGGTGGAGGGGACATTACCTTTTATTTTCTTTCAAGAAAAACATCAGACTTATAGGGAAAAAAATGTATATAAGAACTCACATTGATCTCTTCCTTGGCTCCCTTGTTGTTGTTGTTTTTTTCCCCTTTTTTACTTAGAACACACTGCATTTTCACACATTCATATAGAAGTCACGTTATGTAAATGACATGACTGCTAAGATAAAGCTGGGAATTATATAACTGTCAGGGGTTCACATGCTTCTGAATCCTGAAGATATGGAAAACAATTCTGATTTTGTAACCAGGTGTCACAAAACAAAGTGTTGCTGGGTGTCTTCCATGACAACATAAATATATTAAAAAAAAAAAATGAGCCAGGGAAAGAGCTGTTATAAGTTTTACTGCTAAGGCTCAACAAAATAAGTAGGGCTGATTTGACTTGGCAGAGAAAACCAGACAACAAAAGGGAGATTTAAAAAATCTGACCTATGGATTATCCTCTTAGTTACTATACTTTATTTAATTTTTTTTCTTCATGATATATAATTGCTGCTTTAAGTTTTATTACATTTGTTTAGAAGGAATGAATGAGTGCTGCACGTTCAGTTAGGAATGTAAAGCATTAGAGCAAAGGCGGCCTCATTCATCAGGCCGCAGGGAGCAACTATGCTCTATTTTCAGCTTTAACATGACTTTTCAAGATTTGGCTGCTACTGCACAGTTATTACTGACTTTGATCTGGTGTCTTTGGGAAAGGATGATGGTGCTTTTCATCCTGCTCATGGCTCCCTGCTTTAGGTATCAAATCACTAAATTACTCTTTAGTGACTCTACCAGGAATGAGATAGAAATAGCAAGAAGGAGAAATCAAAAGAGCCACAGTAGCTACTCCATGAAAAAGAGTTGAAAAAAATCTGGCAAAAATTAGAATATATTTTACAATGTGGAGATGGATTTTTCCCCAAGATGGTCCTATTTACCCTTGTTAATAATGTAATTGTGAATTGATTTTATACTCCTCACATATAATCATACTGTAGATTAAAGTAATCTCTTGAAGAGAAATATACTTTGTGTTATCCAAGAATAGATAACCGAATTTAAGTAAAGTGTAGTTAATCCTTTTTAAGAAAATACTTGTTTTCTTAAGTCCATGCATAATAATATGATGCATGATCCATGTAAAAAATAACTAATAAATGGGAAATGAAACTCTAAAGAATCTTTTCATTCTCAATGACTTATTAGAATAATACAGATTCTCATAAACAAGCTTTATGGTTCATGTTCATCTCCTAGAAATCTAGTGAAATGCGCACCTGATAGATTCATCTTTTACAACAGGCAGTGAATGAAAAACAGGATTATAATAGCTGTTCTATTTCATAATATGTTGACTTTATTGTGAAATAAATGTTTTAAAGTCCTGCAGCACACAGAGGGATAAAACGTGAAGCAGCCCACTTAGAGGCTTTCTCTACAGAAATAATTTTGTAGATTTCAATTTGACTACAATAGTGAGGAACTAACAATTCCATTTAAAATATAATTAAAGAAAAGAAAATAGCTTCTAGTACCATATTTAAATGACCAGACTAAAGCATTAAGACACTATTCACCGACATACAATCAAAGGCAAAACAGAGCAGGGGACCGTGGTCTCACCTGAGAACGGAGAACACTCTGGCCATCTTGCCGATGGCTCGGATCTTGTTTCTTATCACCTCCTTCCTGGCTGCAGCCGTTGCTCCTGCATTTTAAAAACACAGTTGAGAAGTCAGGTGACTTTTTATTGAACTCTAACTAGTTGACTAATTTACATATATAACAAACCGCTGTAAGCCAAATCAGGTTTGTTTTTTGTTCCCCTTGGGCTTCCCTGATAGCTCAGTCAGTAAAGAATCCGCCTGCAATGCAGGAGACTCAGGTTGACCCCTGGGCTGGGAAACTGCCCTGGAGAAGGAAATGGCAACCCACTCCATTATTCTTGCCTGGGCAATCCATGGACAAAGGAGCCTGGCAGGTTGCAAGAGTCAGATATGACTTAGCGACTAAACCAAGGATTTATCTGTGAATCAAGTTTAAAAAGCTTATGCTTCCAGGCATAAATGCTTGCCGGTGATACTTTAGAGGTTCTCAAAAGGCCGAAGAGAAACTTTTGAGATTTCCAAGGGAAGGGGTAAATGGGTAACTGAAAACTCAAGGAGGAGATGAGGCAGGTTCCCTTCCTCTTCTGTTTATACAAAGAGAAAGTGCACGGGCAGGAAGAGGAAGTGAGTCACCAGGATCTTCTACTCATTTCCGGACTCCATGCTTGGAGACTACTTTAGGAAACTTCTTTTGCAAAAGTTGTCCTTTGAAGTGATCAAACTAGGGAGTCTCTTAACCCCTTATGTTCCCTGGGGTTATTTATAGTATTTATAATATTTATAGTATTAATGGCCATAAAACATTTGTTTTAGCACTTGATACTCTTTCATCTACTGGTTACTACACAAATTCTAGAAGAAAAAGCAGAAAACTACTGAAGTGGATTTAGTGAGAGAGGGTGGCACATATTTTGCATTTTAGCACTTATGTAGAAAAGTTACACATAAGTCTAAGTTTTACCACTGACTGCATTTTCCAAATTTAAAAAAGCCAATCTACATAGGTTGTTATTATAAACATTTTTGTTTTTTAAGTATTTTTATTTATATAGTTTTAGAATAATGCTATATGGTCTTTAGTGAATCTATTTTATTTCTTTTTAAATTTTCAAGGTAATGTTTCAAGAAGTGCAAAACAGAAAAAAAAGTTCTCTTTTTAAGATTTTTATATGTCAAAGTAAAAGGGATGGCATACATGCTCAATCACTCAGTCATGTCCGACTGTTTGGGACCCTATGGACTGAGGCCTATCAGACTCCTCTGTCCATGGGATTTCCCAGGCAAAAATACTGGAGTAGGTTGCCATTTCTGCCTCTAGGGAATCTTCCCACCCTAAGGATCAAACTCAAATCTGTGTCTTCTGCATTGCAGGCAGGCTCTTTACCTCTGAGCCACTGGGGAAACCAAAAGGGATATCCTTTTCAAACATATGGGACTTTGTAGAAAGTGTTAATACAAGCAGATTTTCTTTCTAATTCTACTGCCACTCATAGGAATATAACAAAATATTCTTAGCAGACAATATCAGATAATATCAGAAATGTTTGTAATTCAACAGTCTAAGTCACACAGTTTGTTCAGAGACTGGTCTCTAGGTGATAACTGGTATATATTTTGGTCTCTTAATTCATGGTAAGTACAAGCTTTATGATCTTTTTTTGGAAGGAAATATTTTTGCTGTTTCCTGTGACTTCTAAGAATTGGATTTGAAGTTTTTTCCTTGTTTGATAAGGGTCAAACAATTAATCACTGACTTAACACTTTTATAAGAAAGAAGAGTCGCAGTAACACTCACACAATTTTGAAATGGCTAGAAAAAGGCCTCTGATTTTCTATACATCCCAAGGAAGTTAAAATATAATGGGTCACCTTTTTCTTCTGGGTGGGTTAATTTGTCAGAGGTGAAGCTAATGCATACCCTTCTGAGGATATTCCTTAGAACCTGTGTACCTGGGAGCTGGTTTCCTCTTTTCTCTGACCTAAAAGCCCTCACCCAGCCCCTATTTTTGTCTATTTCTTTTTCTCTAGTGACAATGGCACCAGAGAAGGTATCCCCCCAACACACCTAACTGGTTTGCGTCTATTTTTCCCCATCACTTCCCCACTCCCAATCTGGGTGTGGCCACGTGTCTTGCTTTGGGTAAAGCAACATTAGCAAAAGTGATGCTAACAGGATCTTGAAATGCACACAGGCTTGTTCTGTTTCTTGTTCCTTGGTATTTTTCCAAGAGATTTGAAAACTTATGTCCACACAAACTCCTGTACACAGATGTCTATACTAATTTTCGTTCATAATTGCCAAAATGGAAGCAAGTAAGATATCCTTCAGTAGGTGAACCTACTATGGTTCATCCAGATAATGGGATTTTATTTGGTGTTAAAAAATACTGATCTCTCAAACCAGAACTTAAGGCTTTCTCTCATATGGACTTAAACTTATTTCACTCATTTGCAGGCAGAATAGCTTGCAATACCAAGTTACAATCCTGTCTTTTGATAACCAAGTGGAAAGGTGGATTCTCATTTATAATTGGTTCTGTTGATTAAGTCTATTGGTCAAAATTTTGGAGGAGAAAATGGAGTGTGCCTAAAACTTTTCTGGCCCTCTCTCAAAGTTTATTCTGAGTTTCTAATAATATTTAGTTATTATCTATGATGTGCAATTGTGATTCTTTATATAAAACCTGTCCCAGAGACCATTTGAAAGTTTAAAGTTTCTGTGCTTGAATTTTAGATGATTTATGATCTACTAAAGGACATTTAAGACTACTAAAGGACATTTGTTAAGGGGGAAAAAATGTGGGGTAGCAATTAGTTGCCTTATAGTGGTTTTCCCACATTTTTTTTTTTGAGTTGTTCAGTTAAATCCTGCATCAGTCTGACTAACTGGTATGTTACTACCACTCTATGCTTAATATTCCCCAGTCTGACTGACCCAGTCTGTCAGAAGTCATGATGTGCTAAGTAAGGGGAAAGAGTCTGACCCTCTCCAAAAACAGTATGGCCAGATCATAAAATCCATCCAACAGACACAAGGAATGGAACATGTGGGAGGACTCCAAAACTGGTGACTATATTTAGAAGCACAACAAGAAAAGCAGCAAAGAGTAGCCTAGAAGTGTAACTGGATATATTTAAGAGGAATGGGAAGGGGAAAAAAGTAAAGTCCAGTAAGTGAAAAATATCTAAGAAGGCTAATCTCTTAGAAAATTTTCATTAAAGGACTTGTAAAAACCATTACCAGAGCAACAAAAACAAAGAAACTAATAGGAAAGGAAGGGAAACAAATCATGTACAGCCATCCTTTTAAGTTCAGTATGAACCAGAACTCAGAAAAATTCTCAAATAAATGTGGAATTTTAAATGTAAAAGAACATTCTGACAGAGCCAGTTTAGTATTTCCTTATTTTTCAGACCTAGTGACTTACTGGAGAGTACTATAGAGAGTACAGAGCAGGTATCTTACTTTATGTATTCATAGCTCTGCTCCCAACAAATAGTAATTCCCAGCATATGGTAATGATAAACAATTCATCTTAATGAAGAAATGCTATCTCTCTTTAGATTTCTCAACAACCCTGGTAAGTAAGAGGTTTTAGTACATCTTTTATAAAATTCAAATGTATTTACTCAAAAAGTCAGTGAACTTAAGCAAAGAACAGTAAGAAGAGACCTTAAAAGTGAATATCTCAAAGCTTTATCCTGGGGAATTACCTTCACTATTTTCCACATAATCAAAATCAAAACAAATATCACACATTTACAACCCATGAAAATGTAAAATATTTAAATAAAATATCTGAATTAATATGTAATCAAACTTAGAGGAGCTGAACAATAGCAGGATAGAACTAAGTTCAGATATAAAGGTTCTTGCATATTTAGTATTGTTATTCATTAAAACTCTTATTTAAATACTTAGGTTCCATTGCAAACCCTCAACAATCAATAATTCTATAGTAAGGTCAAGGAAAAATGCACATTTTTCAGGCTTTTACTAGCTGTGACATGCAAGTACAATGTCATGTTTAACGTTCTTGGAACTTAACTCTATTTAGGTTGTGGAAATGTATCACAGTAGCTCAGCTTAAAATTCAGAATATTGAATAATGAGAGCACAAAAAATACTTTTTACGTTAAACATATGGCATGCCGGATCTTAGCTCCCCAGCCAGGGATCAAACCTGTGCTCCCTGCATTTGAGAACGCAGAGTCTCAACCAGTGGACCACTGTCTCTTGCACTGAAGGCAGATCCTTTATCAATCTGAGCCACCACAGAAGCCCAAGAAGGCCATACATTAAACAATTTTTAATAGGTAACTACTGTTAACAAATTTTCAGAGAAGAATATAATCACGTATTTTAACTTGAAAGTCCAAAATTGAGAGGCAATCTTTCATAAGGTTAAAAACAATTAGCAATTTTAAGTAAAATTTCATTGTGTGTTTCCATTCAAGTAATTATCACTTCTTTTTTGGGCCTCTCTCTTGCTTTACCTTTTAAGTTCTAATGTTCTTTTATGCCTGGGGTATTATGCTACTATTTTCAAAAGCTAGGCACTCTGGCACACTCCATTTTCCTCAAAGGTTAATGTACAGACCAAGGGAATCTTTAAAGATCTGCTTTTACCATGTGTCCTTCCTGACCTTAACTCAGGGCCCTGCTGACTTCTCATGAAGTTTGGAAGGTACCTATGCCAAATGGCCTGCTGAGTGAATGCTGACTGACTCTGAAGGGAACTGGAAAATTGCAGCAGCATCACAGTGATGAGCGGTCAAGTGCCAGGGCAAAGACAGCATCTAACATGTGTGCTACCGGCCACACATTACAGGCCCTAGCTCCCTCCGGCTCACCGTTCCCATCCATCCATTGAGTGACTACCGTAATTCCTCAGAGTTTTAACTGAATCAGCATTGTGTGGAAGGTACTCTATAGAATACAATTTAGGACCCAAATCATTTATTCATTAAGTGTTCTTGTGAATCCTTTTTTATTCTGTAGCCTGCCGTGAGCTAAGAGCTAGCAACAGAAATAGGCGTGAAGCATGGTCTCTGCTTTAGGAGGTCACCCGATCACCAACAGCACACAGTGACAAGGCTA